CAAGGGCATGTACCTTGGTTGCGGGCACATCCCCAGTAGGGAGTGTGCAGGAGGCAGCTGACCGATGTTTCTCTCTCATGGATGTTTCTAACTCTTTATCCCTGTCTCTTCCTCTCTGTAAAAAATCAATAAAATATATTTAAATAAAAAATAAAAAAAAGAAAAAATACTGTTTACTTTATACTTTCAAAAGTTAAGTAAGAATTTAATTTGTAACTGATCATTAGCTTTTAAGAAGTTTACTTCCATGAGTTTTACATTTAATAATTAGTTTATTCAATATTGTAAATTGCTAGCTCCAGTACTGTAAATTGCTAACTATATAAATAATGTTGGCATTCTACATTAATATTGACTGCCAGTATGTCTAGTTATTCCTCTTTTTTTTTTTAAAGAGCCAGACCCCCTTTTTAAAAAATATATTTTATTGATTTTTTACAGAGAAGAAGGGAGAGGGATAGTTAGTTAGAAACATCAGTGAGAGATTAACATCGACCAGCTGCCTCCTGCACACTCCTTACTGGGGATGTGTCTGCAACCAAGGTACATGACCTTGACCGGAATCGAACCTGGGACCTTTCAGTACACAGGCCAGTGCTCTATCCACTGAGCCAAACCAGTTAGGGCTAGTTATTCCTCTTTTTAATAATTTGGAATTAACCTACTAAAATATGAATATTGCTTGAAAATGAAAGGCCAGCTTGGAATTAAGCTACTAAAATTGTTCAGTGACTTACTTGACCAGTTTTTAATATGCCTTTTTAAAAATTATATATTTTTATTGATTTCAGAGAGGAAGGGAGAAGGAGAGAGAGAGATAGAAACATCAATGATGAGAGAGAATCCTTGATCACCTGCCTCCTGCACACCCGCAAGCCGGGCATGTGCCCTGACCAGGAATCGAACCATGCCCTTCTTCTGGTTTATAGGTTGACACTCAACCACTGACCCATACCAGCCAGGCTTAACATGCCTTTTTCATGGCAGGGTGTCAGTGTATGTAGGGAGAAATCTTGCTTAGATGATTATTTGGAAAATAACCTCAGAATAAAAATGATCTAGCATACACGTAGAAGGATATAAATTAATTGTACATCCAAATACTTTGTGACTCATGACAAAAATGTTACAGGAGTTGAGGCATAAAGAGTGTGTAAGATTTTTTTCTTCAATCCTAAATTTATTTCTATTCTGATGTTACAGTTGTTTGCATTGTATAGTCTTCCTACTGCTAAATACTTTTGGATTTTTGTTGTTGTTAATTCATTATTAAATTTTATTTCCTTTTAGGCAAAAACAGTTTAGAAAGTTCTAAGGTCACACATTGAAATCATTGTACAGGTTTCACTAGAATCTGTTGCTACCTGTTGTTTCTTTAAGTACAAAAAGATACCAGTAAGATTCTACAGGATAATTTACAGTTGAAGCTGAGAGCTGAGATCCCCTGACTTTTTTGTTTACCTTTTTGTTCACACATCCTGGCTTTCTACTCTTCCTCATATTGTACAAATAATACACAATTAACTATACAACATTGAAACAATTCAGAAATATCCTTAACAAATATGAGAAATCTCCTTTCACTTTCCTCCTACCCAAAGGTTATCTCCTTTCAAATGGTTATCCCTATAAAGGTGCAGTTTCCTTTATACACAATTTTTAATTTCCAGAGTTTTATGTATACATATACCTTACACATTCATTTTAGGATGGTTCTTTGTATTTGCCCTCGATCGAAATCGAACTTGGGACCCTTCAGTCCACAGTCAGACCCTCTGTCCACTGAGCCAAACCAGCTCAGGCTCATTGTCATTTTTTAATTTACCATTAGTTCATTAGCAAATATTTCGTGTTTTTTGTGTATTTTGGTATGCTGTGAGGCCCTGAGAATACAAAGATTACAAATAAGACGTGGTCTCTGCCACCAAGTTGCTCAGTCTAAATCAGAAACAGATGTATTCATCAAGTTTTGTGACAAGCAAATACAGGGTGGGGAAAAGTAGGCTTACTGTTGTGATTACATGAAACTGTATTCTTGTATTATTACTTACTAATAATTTTATTTTCATACGAACAACTGTAAACCTACTTTTGCCCCATTCTGTTATTAATCAAATAAAGCACCAATGCTTTATTTGTCAGTGGCAGCACAGAGTGGAGAATGAGTTTGACAAGGTTAGAGAAGGCACAGCTAGGAGAAAGCATAGTACAAAACCATAGAGATATGAAGCAGCTTGTTACATTCCTAGAATTGTTAAGTAGTTTAATATTGCTGTAGGAACTTTTATGCTTTGCTGTGGTTACAGCACCAAGTTTCCTTCTGTTTTCAAAAATTTTTTTAAGCCCTTACAGGGTTTTCTATCAAATTGTGGAGCCATTAAAAGGCTAGGTACACATTGGCATATAAACATGGATAATGTAATATTTATGGGAGTTTTATGGGAATATTTAGTAATAATTGTTCATTACTAATCTGATTAATAGGCTTACAATTCTGTTAATTAACACTTATTGCCTACAGCAAACATGTCTGACAAAGAACTAAAGAAACTACGTAATAAACAAAGAAGAGCTCAAAAGAAAGCCCAGCTAGAGGAAGAGAAAAAAAATGCAGAAAAAGAAAAGCAGCAGAGAAATCAGAAAAAAAAGAAGGATGATGATGATGAGGAAATTGGAGGTCCAAAAGAAGAACTTATCCCTGAGAAACTGGCCAAGGTACTTGATACTAGTGTTTATAGCACAATTGCGTGAAGTTTCATGACCAACTATTGTCATTTTAAAGTATCTTAGTCAATCATTTTGTTATAGATTTTAGAGCAAAAAAATCATTTTTCAATTTAGTCATCTTCCTTTTTCTTCCTTGATCACATTTCACGTTTAAAACTTGAAATAACGATCCTGATCCAGCGTAGCCTAGATCAGCAATTGCCAACTGGTGGTCTGAAATGTTGTTGACTGCTGGTCTAGATGGTGTAGTGGAAAGTTTGGGCTTTTGAGTCATTCTGATCTGAGTCCACATATCAGTTCTTACATTTCACTGTGTGTCTAGGACCCTATGTCTAACCTCTCTGATGTGTTTTGTGTTTTTTTTTTCATTTGTAAAATGAGACTAGAAGAATTCTCTACTAGGAAGAGATGTTAGGGCTAGCGAAAATATACGTATAAAGAATATAGTGTCTGTTGTAAGTGGAAACATGCATGCTTTTATATCTAGGCAACTTTTTAAAAAATATGTTTTTATTGATTTTTTTTTTAAGAAGAAGGGAGAGGGAGAGAGAGAGAAACATTGATGAGAGAGAAACATCAATTGGCTGCCTCTTGTAAGCCCCTTACCTTGCTAACAAGCCTGCAACCTGGGCTGTGCCCTGACTGGGAATCAGCGGGTGACCTCTTTGTTCATGGGTCAACACGCAACCTCTGAGCCACACTGACAAGGTTTTATATGGAATCACTTGTTAAAAAGTGAGTTTTATATGTGTATCTTTAACCCATGTTGTCAGTTTACAGTATTTCTTCATCGGACTTTGCTATTTATTTATTTATTTATTTTATTATTTTTAATATATTTTTATTGATTTCAGCGAGGAAGGGAGAGGGAGAGAGATATAGAAACATTAATGATGAGAGAGAATCATCATTGGCTGCCTCCTGCATACCTCCCACTGGGGATCAAGCCGTTAATTCGGGCATGTGCCCTGACCAGGAATTGAACCGTGACCTCCTGGTTTATGGGTCAATGCTCAACCACTGGGCCACACCGGCTGGGCAGGTACCTCCTCTCTTGACAGGAACCTAACTGATACAGGATAAAAACCTAGACAAAGATCTAGCTGCTACTGGGAACTGTAATTAGGCATTCTCGCTTGTTAAGATATTTCAAAATAATACTCCAAAATGGCAAAAAGAAAGTTACCGAAAGAAGTGTACTGCGAATCTGAAAGTAACGATGAAGAGTTTTATTTTGGCACCTTGAATACTGACTCTGACGTAGAAAGTGATAACGTTTGTAGTGATTCTACTAGTAGTGACGTAGTTCCAAAAAAGAATAAATAAATCTTGTTTATCCTTCATAATCTTGCATGTGATGTATCACTGCTCTTTCAATGGAAATTAATTCCGACCAGTACGACACCCATGTCCGAATTTAATACGACTACAAAGGGTTAAATCTAATATCTTAGCTGAAACCAAGACAAGCTATTCATTGTCACATGAGCCATTTTGATTAATAACATACCTATGCAGTTTCTCTTGTGGCCCTTGACATCCTCCTACTCCATGTAAAAGTAATTGCATAATTTCTCATATTAAAGCAATATAGTAATGAGGACATTGCCCTAGGGTTCAGTTTTAGCCTTACTAGTAAGTAAAAATTCAAAAATCGTTGGATGCTTTAAAACTAAGGAAAATTATAATACCAAACAAATAGAGTTAGAAAATTGTTTTAGAAATATACCAGAGAAGATGGACAGTAATATAGCATTATTGCTATTTAAGTACTATATAGAAATCTAGCTTGGATTTCATAAATATATATTGACACCTTTTCACGAATAATTGTATATATTCTAGGAAAAAAAAGATGTTACTTTTTTATTGTTTGGGGGAATTTATTTGAAGGGTATACAAGGAAGTAAGTAAACAGAAAATTTTAGGCCTTTTAGGCTTTTGCCGGCTTTGCTTAGTGTTTAGAGCATTGACCTGCTCGCTAGAGGGTCGCAGGTTCGATTCCGGCAGGTCTGATCCCTGCCCCTGGTTGGGGTGCGTGTGGGAGGCAACCAACTAATGGAAGTGTCTCGCTCACAAAGATGTTTCTCTCTCTCTTCCTCCCTCCCTCCCTCCACCTCTCCCCCCACCCCTTCTTTCCACTCTCTCGAAATTAATGGAAACAATATCCTCACTCTCCCAGTGAGGATTTAAAAAAAAAGAAAGAAAGAAAATTGACCTTTTGGGCCTCATGGAGAGCTGCAAAGTTATTCAGGGATAATATCAGCTTCAGGGGCTTTCCACTTTTATCCTCAGCTTTCTTTATTACCACTACTTTACTACCGTAACTGACTGCATGCCACCATTATTCTTTCTACTTGCTTTCTCTCTACCCCATGACTTTCCTTAATGACTTTTTTCTTTGTAACTCTTCACATCTTGCATTATAGGTCTTAAAAGAGAAGATCTATTTGGATTGAGTACCCCCCGCAAAGCAGAATTCTGTACCAGGCCTCCTTACAGACTATATAGGGTTTGCCTTGTGTCAAGCCTGTTATGGCTGGTTTGGGCCAGATGTCAAGTTGTAATCTAATCTTGTAGAGTCTAAGAATAAAATAATGCCTACAGAAAGTGCTTCATTTGGAAGAAGCCTGGTGGAAGGGACCCAGTTTCATAGACCGTTCTTTAGTATATACTATTCTTACCTATTAGGCACATAACACTCTTCCTAGAATAACTGCTTCCAAGATACCCCCCTCTAATATCAACCACATTTATCCATATCCTCAATGTGGTTGCAGTGCCAAATTACATCAAGCTGTCAAAACCAGAGCTGGCATTGTAGGCCACTTTAAAAGCACCTGCCATGTCCGGGCCTATGATCTCTATTTGCTTTTTTGTGATCCTATATTTCAGCATTCTTTTTTTTTTTTTTTTTTTTAATATATTTTATTGAGTTTTTACAGAGAGGAAAGGAGAGAGATAGAGAGTTGGAAACATCGATGAGAGAGAAACATCGACCAGCTGCCTCCTGCACACTCCCCACTGGGGATGTGCCCGCAACCAAGGTACATGCCCTTGACCGGAATCGAACCTGGGACCCTTCAGTCCACAGGCCGACGCCCTATCCACTGAGCCAAACCGGTTTGGCTATTTCAGCATTCTTACCTGTGATAAATGGTAAGTTTAGTGTCTCCAGTTGAGGATGGTATATAACGGCGGTTCTCAACCTGTGGGTCGCGACCCCTTTGGCGGTCGAACGACCCTTTCACAGGGATCGCCTAAGACCATCCTGCATCTCAGATATTTACATTGCGATTCATAACAGTAGCAACATTACAGTTATGAAGTAGCAATGAAAATAATTCTATGGTTGGGTCACAACATGAGGAACTGTATTTAAAGGGCCAGAAGGTTGAGAACCACTGT